CCAAAACTGGTTACGCATAATCCACTGGTTTGATCTTTGGACTCTACCGTTGTTATGCGCACGTGTATCAGGCTGATTAAGGGTCAGTTACCAACTAGGTTTTCAATTTTTTATCACGATCATTCTCACGGCAATGTGCTCAGCCTCCAGTTTATTCACGTCCGCTGTTCCACCTCTTGGGAACGCAGAGTAATTTCTTCGCACATAGCATTTGATACCGCACCATCAGCATCCCTCATTTTTCAACGTGTAGGCCGTTTGGTGTTGGATTGACGCTTCTCTTGCTAGCCAGGGACCAGCTGTGAGCTATGCACAGTGTATTCAGTGGATTTTCGGCAGAATATAGATGCTACGTCCAATAATAATATCAACACCAAATGTGAATGATCATGAAGGTAAAATCTTCAGATAGAGGAATCAAGAGTCCGAATTACGTAAAAATTAGAACGGACCAGTGATTTAATCTCTCGTGGAATTTGTCATTCCATCACTCGATCCGTCATTTTTTCTGAATTAGAAATAGCCCATTCCTCTGCCTAAACGTTTACATCCTGGACAAAATTATCTGAGCGATATTCATGTGCTGTGTGATTTCTACAGGACATCCTCCCCCCCCCCACCATCCCGTCTTTCACCCACTGCGTGCTCGTATGACTTCACTGTTCTACTCTGAGGACAAGACTACTTTACATTTAATAGCCAAATCGACCGGAGTCCGTTAGAAAGAGCGGCGGATTATCCGAAGTGATTAGTCGAGCTTTCCTCATTTATGTTTCAAGGTTTCCCAGCCAAATTAGGATTGGCGGTCTCACTCTGTGTAAATACTACCTTCTCTCAAAAATGTCCTCGATCCCCCTCTCCCTACTTTTCTGCAGTTTCTTCTTTACTTCTTTTCACTGCTCGATTATTTTATCTTTACAAATTGAAATAGAGGAAGGGTTTCTTCCTGTCTCTATCTGTAATTCGGCTTGAATTACGTATTTACACGAATCGCCTCCTTAACTTCTTCTAGGAACAAAACCACTGAATCGCCATCAAGCTCATGAATATGGGCAGCTATCTTCAACGCTCATCATTTGTCAGTAGAGTTCTTTAGCAATGTGACTCAAATCGTATAGTCTCTGTTTGGTATATTCTACCCAACATCTCCGACTAATGAAAACTGCCAAGTGCACTGTCGGTTGTCCATAGATCTGTTGCTGTCAACGTTTACTGGTTCCCTTCTGTCGCTCGCTTCTTGCCCCCAGAATGCTGAGTCCACTCTGTCTGTCTCTGTCTTTGTGATCCAGATGTTGCGTACCAGTCTTACTTCTTTGGAAGCCGGATAATGCAAATGGCATTTGTTTTATACTTTTTCATGCTTCATTACACTGCATGCCAGAGAGATTTCTACACCACAGTCTTACCTTTAAGCTGTAGAACTATTATCATCAAACCTGATGCACAACACATTGGCGGGCCACTCGTATTTCCTTTCACTTGAAGTGTGAATGTGTTTTTATGTGACATAGCGATGGTGATGCACCGCGTTTGAATCAAAATTTTTTACCTCATTCATACGAACTGCATCTTTGATTGTGGAAGTCATGTTGGGCATGCTTTTCACTATCGAAATGGTGTGTTGTTTACCATACTTTATGTTACTTTCACTAACGCGCTAAGTGTTTGACCGAGGATTACAACCATGCACTTAAGCCACTCCACCACGACGGTGTACCTCTTCAAGCTTATGAGTTACAACCTCCCTCCGCTCCTACCTAGCTTTGGCTGCTCTAGCAATATTCTAGGCAACGAATCGCCAATGTGATGTGTTTGTGTACTATTGATCTCTGTCTAACCTGACGTCGCTCACTCGAACTGTCATCTATGTATCTCCCCCTCGGGACACTGGGAGCTCACTTTGGTTGCAGTTTTGCACAGCCGTAAAGTCCGTGCATTCCTCTGCAAGACTTTGCCTCGCGAGCTAGAAGACTACTTTAACCTTGCATCTCCATGGGGACTGTATCTGTGTTCCTCGATTTCAAGAGTGTGTTCGATTCATTCGATCGATCCATTCTGGTTGGAATACTTGCGCGAAAAGGTTTCCACGAAATATGTGAACATCCTTCGTGCTCTATACTCGAACACTACAGTCCGCGTCAGGGTCTACGGCGACCTGTGGGATGGCTTTCCGACCACAAGTGGCATTCGTCAGGATTGTCTGATTTCCCCATTTTTGTTCAATTTCGTCATGGATTCTATCATGGAGTGCTCCCTTGCGGAATCTCACGATGTAGGCGTCGAGGTCCTGCCTGGTGAAAGATTAGTTTATCTTGATTATGCAGACGATATCGTCTTGCTTTTTGACGATATTGCGGCGGCAAGATCAACCCCGAGTAACCTGTCTATAGTGGTCCCATTATTTGGTATGCGCTTCGCACCTTCAAAGGGCGGTGTTGCTGCAGAACCACCAGCCACTTGATGACCCCTTGACACTTGCTAACGAGGAACTCGATGCGATTGATCAATTCACTTACCTTGGCAGCTGCATCAGCAACGATGGACGCATAGAAACTGAAGCCAGTTCACGCATTGCAAAGGCCAGAGCTGCCTTCTTGAACCTGCGGCATCTTTGGCGACAGAAGGGAGTTCCCCCCATCTGAAAGGCCGTGTATACACGGCTACAATGAGGGCCGTCCTGCTCTATGGTAGTGAAACTTGGACCCTTCGGTCTGAAGATCTGAGGCGCCTTCAAGTCTTTGATCATCGTTGTCTGCGAAGCATTGCTGGTGTCGGATGGCACCAGCGTGTCCGCAACGATGATGTGCGTAGGCGAGTACTAGGTAGTGATAATCATGCTAGCTTCCTAGAACAACAGATAGCACTGAATAAGTTGCGTTGGCTTGGGCACGTGCTACGTATGCCTGGTCACCGCTTACCTAGGAGGGCCTTGTTTAGTCTGCCAGATGTAGGATGGCGCAAGGCTCGAGGTGGACAGAAGTTGACTTGACATCCGGAAAGGAAGTCACTGTCGACCAAACTGGGTTCCGTTAGTCCGTCTCGCCTTCCGGACTGGAGTCCACGTGACTCGCTTTGTGCCGGGCTCGAAACTAAACCTGGCTCGCAGTAGACACCAGTGGCGCGTCTGCTGCCTTCTCCTAGTCGGATTGCCTGTTTAAAGTGTGTTTGGTGCTGAGTTATCTGCGGCGAAATGGCTGATTATGACGCGTGACAGTGAAAGCCGCAAGAAATCTGTCTCCCTGATACCGCCTTATCTTTTCACGATAACCAGCTGTTTGTGACCGTATGTTGCTAAAACAAGATGTAGGCGCCGTGACTCTGAATGTTTGCTTAGGACATTAAGGTTTTTCAGGTAAGTCCCTATTCTCTCCCTCCTGTTATTTTTCATTCCGTAGGTCATCATGGTTGTATGACAACGAAGCATCAGTTCAAATGGCTGATGTACTGCTGTTGTCCTACAAAGCTGTCAATCGGTTCAAACTGTGTGCCTTCAAGAATGAGCACGGGAACGGGCGAATGCCAATCCTGGAGCAGCGCTTTGCATTTCGATGGGGCGAAGCACATTCCGTACCTAGATGCCTCGATCGCCAAACTGTTTAGAATGGTTTACATACTCTACGTGTCGTCATCAAGTAGCGCGATATCATCGGCATCATCATCATCAACAGCAGTACATCAGCCACTTGAACTGATGCTTCGCTACCAAACAACCATGATAACCTATGAAATAAAGAATAATAAGAGGGAGAGAAGGGGTACTTAGCTGAAAGTCTAACTTTGTTGCAGGCCAGCATGTTAGCTTTCGACAGAACGTCTTCAATCGCAAAGTTGAAGAGGCACGCGGACATAAGGCAAAAGGAGAATTGTTCAGATGAGGCTAGTTTGTAATAAAGCAGTAGGCTTTTATCGTGAAGGCAACTATTGCCATAAGAGCTGGATGAACTGACTAGCTCTTGTATGTGTAAATATTATCTTCGCATAACGGTCGTACTCTGGTATGGTGAACTTTACATTCCTCTCTGACAAGCGTAGGATATTATTGATCCACGTTCTATGCCCAGCGTCATTGCTCCTTTGCTGTCGCATGGTTTACTATCTGTTGCAGTTAGCTAGCATCTAATTCCGACGCCCCACTGTGAGTGACCCATGATGCAAAACTCACGTGTCATCTATGAAAGCACAGTAGCTGTCTTTTAGCGCAGCGAAAAGGGATCGTTATTGTCTGTTCAGCTTGTTGAGACCGTCGAGAATGCTGAATACTGTATTGCGGGAACAAGCAAAAATTTGAATCTATACAACTCCATGGAAATATGATCAAACGTTAAAAGCGCTCTATGACCTGTCAACACGCCGATCGTTTCGCAACTTATCGCATGTTGCCGTAAAAAATTGACTTGGGGCTCACAGTAAATTGGGTCTCACGAATGTGAGATATCATTGTCAGTGGGTACTCGTTCTTGGAATCTAACACTGGAAGAAGATATGTCCAACAATGTCTGGAACCTCTGCACCGAGTTTGTTTCCACGAGGTGCTCCGGCAAGCTGTTCCAAACATTGACCACTCGCCTTCCAGAGCAAAGTGGATGGGGACCTCGCTTCAAATCTGGAATCACAAACTTGTACTGGTGTCCGCATGTTCCGCAACATATTCTGAAGTGGAGCAGTAGTCTCAGCATGGGGAAATCGCCTAAATGCACAATGCGGTAGGTCATGATGTGGTGGTTGCGCACCCGACGATAGACCAGGGTGTACGGTCCCAGTCTCTCGCAGGTGTCTTATATTACAAACGAAACACTTTTTGTGCTTTTGTTGGTTGGTTGGTTGTTTTGTTTCTGCCTTTTTCGCCATGCTGATTTCCTCGATTCAGTTGATGGGCGATTTCTGGTTTGCAGCTTCCCATGGCCTTTTTTATGATCCCGACTTTCTGACACTGTTTGCATCAATGAGTCCTCAGTAAAAAAATTTCATCTCTTCTGGTTCTGTTCTTTTGCTTCTTCCAGGTATGTCACAGAGTCAAACCGTTTCTATGTCTCAAGCCGCAAGTACATACGAAATCCCAAATCGTCTCCGAACCCTGCACAACCTTGTCATTCAATACGCCAACGAGGGGCGTTATGAGGTCGCTGTCCCGTTGTGCAAGCAAGCACTCGAAGATCTCGAGAAAACCAGTGGCCGAGATCATCCCGATGTGGCCACTATGTTAAATATCCTAGCCTTGGTCTATCGGTAAGTCTGTAACTCTGCACATGTTTTTTGTAGAGATCAACAGAAATACCGTGAAGCAGCAAGCTTGCTAAACGATGCGTTAACAATACGAGAGCGAACATTGGGACCGGAACATCCAGCTGTACGCGCGAAAATTTCTTATCTGAGTTTTACAGGTTGCTGCGACACTTAACAATCTGGCCGTGCTATATGGCAAACGCGGGAAATACAAAGAAGCCGAGCCTTTGTGCAAACGCGCACTGTTAATTCGGGAATCGGTGAGTGTTTGGGCATTGCATTCGGTTTGCTGCATCCATTGAAATTGAACTCACTCTTGATTGATTGTCGAACTGCCGAGTCCCCAACGTCATGGCATGGTTCGTTCTCAGCATTCTGTGATTTCCACCCTGGTGCACTGACGTTAACAGAAAACATCAATAAACTGTACTTCATTCGTTATTTCAAACACCTGATCTTATCGTTTGCTCAGCTTTTATTAAACTGCATCCGACTACGTTCCAACTAATCCCGTCGTCCTCCGTGGTGGGTTAAATTTTATCTGCCACTCAATGTACAGATCCCGACTGTCACCATGACAAGCAATCAACCTACCATGACCACCTGCTCGTAATCTATGGAATTCTGGCTGATCGCTGCCTTTTCTATGCTCGTGCATTAGAGCACACCTTAACACTTTCTCGATATGTCGGTACAATGTAGTCCCTCGCAATAGTCTTTCCTTGTGATTGACTTTTTATCCATGCACACCGTCTGAAGAAATTGCATCTAACCCTCGTCCAACAATCATGAGGATTTCGGAAAAAAACATACAGCAGATTGGATGGTCGTTTTGAAGCAGTCGTCGTGTGCATGGGTCTCGAGTTGTGTTCCACATTGAGATTGCGCTCGCCGCAATCCAGTCACACAACGAGCGCTTCAAAATGACCCCTCCAGTCGACCACCATCATCAATGCGCATTAGCTGCGGGAGGGAAACACACCTCAGCTCATGTGCCGCAAGAAGAAAAGATAACATACTACAGGCTACAAAAGCAAGTAATATACTGCCAACTATCATATTATTTATGTGCTATTAGATCATAATTAAAGGGGGGCAAAGAAACACACAACACAAGCACCATTGGAGCCGGCTCTTCGCCATATCGGCAAGTGTATCCAATCAAACGCGCTCATCATCCTTTGGACCCCTGCCAGGCAGTCGGGATACACCAACCGACACCATCTTCGAATTGAAGGTTTACATTCCTCTCGATCAAGTCATCGATTAGCCTCCGATCCTCCTCTTCCATCCACACCCCAGGTGCGCAAACAACGCCCGAAGCGGGATTCGGTGTGCTAGCATGCACAACACTTGACCCAGTTATCGGAGCCTAGTTCGTAATATAACGGTACTGAGCGGTTCACTCGCTCTTAGTGCACCAAATGCATGACGCCAAACACGTTCATTGCTCACGCGGTGCTCCCACCAGAGATGAGCTAAGCTGCGACAGCAGCGTTGGTCGAACGTAACTAGCCTCTTTATGTCTGTCGACTTGATGGGCCAGGTTTCACAACCGTACGGGAGGGTTGAACGGACAGCTGCATTATAAACTCTGCCCTTCAGGGCGAGAGTGATGTCGCACCGGCGCCACATGTGGCAGAGATTGGCAAAAGCACCTCGATCTTTTGCTATACGGTTCGTGACTTCATGTTCAAACCCACGAGCGCTCGTATAGCTGCCCAGATACTTTAATTCTTGCACGACTTCTAGCTGCTCCTCACCAAGCGTCAGCGCAGTGTTGGGTCCCTGCCAATCTTTAAGGACTTTGCATTTCGATGGAGCAAAGCATAGACCAAAACAATTGACGGTTGTGATAAGCGTTGCTCGCCGTGACTCGAATTCTCATGGGTAGAGGTTTCGGCCAACGAATCAATGACACTGGGTTTCAGTGTCTGCTATCTCTACTTGACGAAATCACGTTGTTTCAAAATCGGCATTAGAGTGCGTTGTCGGGCGGGGAACACCCAATGTATCTGACATACATGCAGTTTATGTTAGCTTTCCTAGCTTGTTTGATCATGTTTCCATCCTACATGTTTTTCGCATTTGTGGATGAAGATTTTTATTCGATGTACGTTTGTCGTCGTGCCTCGTAGTAGTGTCGTGCATTCTGGCTCCCCAGGGGACAGATGGGACTCAGTTCCATCAATTTCCTAAAGCAGTGCTTAAATAACCGGCCGGTGCTCGAGTGTTTCCAACTTCTGATTTGTGATCCACAAGTTGTCGGTTTGAACTTGTGTAGACGCCGGCTACGTCCAAGTGCCCTTAGCTTGCACGTGACTGTTAAGAGTTGCGTAGCTACGAGATTCGCTTAGTGCTAATGGCTACGACTCCTTGCTAACCATTTCAAGCACTGGTATTCTTCGGCTAAGCAGGTCGCTTATGTCGTGCATCCGAATCGTACTTTCATATCTTTACTAGACCATCATGTTTACTGATGACTTTGGGTTCAAGAACTCGAATAATGTTGCATTCCAAAATGTTCTACGCATTTTCTCCTTGGACTGTTGCATCACCACTTTATACATACTTTGATTTCAGGTCCTCGGCCAAGACCATCCGGATGTCGCTAAACAGTTAAATAATCTGGCTTTACTTTGCCAGAATCAGGGCAAGTACGAGGAGGTATGCTGGTGTCCCTTCGAGTTTTTTTGTAGTTAGCAACAATTCTAGTCTATTTCATTTTCTTTCACGTGCCCTGGAGAATACTTCTATTAACGCAGCTGTTTTTATCACTATTGTATACGCAGTTTCACTTTCGCACGGAGTCCTTCACCTTTTAACCCAGTCAACCGTTTGGGATGGAGAGCCTTTGTTGCATGCCCCTCTTTAGCAAGCCTCTGTTTCTCTCCACGGGCCGCCATCAGCCAAACCTCTTACCAACTAAGTGTAAGCTGTTCTTCGTTACAATTCCCTTTTTGGGTCTTAATAAAAAAAATCCGAAAACCAAAACGACTGCATGATTCCGGCCCAGTCCGAATCCTTTGTCCTATACCAATTCACTCGGACACACGACCAGACGTCTGTCAAAGCGGATAGCCCTGCCTCATTACAGTGGGGTACCACCAGAAATGTCTACAGCTCCATCCTAGAACATTTAGTAGATATTGAATATAACATACAAACGAGAGACCTTCAAAATAGTGTATGTAGCAGCAAAACGCTGCACAATAGGACTCAGGAACCGCCTACTGGCCACAGCAGACACAGTTGCGATCAAGCAACTGAAGCCGGAACTGTGTAAACAGCATGCACGTATGCAGAGTTTAACCCTACCGTGGCCCTAGTCTGATCACCTGAATTATGACATAGTGGTCAATGATAGTGGGTTCAAATAGATGTAGACTGCCTCCGTCCATCCGATCGCAGCATTCACGACTTTATGTCGCATCGCTAGTAATAGCTACTGCACAAATGATTATGAAGCTCATAATTCTAATTGCTTGAAGAGATTTATCGAAAAGAAATTTCTTCGCAATTTCCTTTTGTAATCATTAAAGTTGCTTACATCAAAACGGTCAACGATTTGAAAACATACGAGATTTCCCAGTGTACTTCACTTTGCAGGCTATGCTCAGTTTAGTGGCTTCATTCCCTCGAATCTCGGCTCACTTCATTCTGAACTCCATTTTCATTGTCTTCTCTTTTGCATTTTACCCAATTTTCTTACTTTTGTTCCCCCATTGCTTTCCTGGCGTTGCGAGTCCGTGGCAACTGAGTTCACCGTACTTCGATGCCCGAATCTGAACTGGGTGACATAAACGGTCAACTAGGTTGCGGAATCATCATCTTGGGGTTGTTGAGTCTTTGTCGCATCGGAAATGCTGCAAAGTTCGGTTAGCTGCGCACAAATTGGCCACCTCTCTATCAGAATCACAGATATTCAGCATGAATCTGCGCGTCGTTTTACTTTCCGCCACCCAGTTGAATATGTTCCTTGAGCCCTATTCAATCGCTTCGCCGTCATCTAAATCTGCTTTATGCGTAGCATAACCGGGCATCAAACATGGAGTTTTCTTGCCTCATCTATTAAAGCTACAGTTCCCGAAATTGAACTATTAGTCGAATCGAAGCATCATCCCACCTACCATTCGGGTGCGCGAATCGAGGTTTTACATCGCTTTAGTTGCATAACGAACTGTTCTAAGGTGTTTCTTCCCTCAGCTTCAGATTTACATACGGTAAAACAAATGTGGCCCCACATTTGCTCCTGCCAGTTTTGAATGACGGTCATCTTTAGTTATAGCTGACCAAGTATCTCGGGATTTTCCAACTCTTTCCATGGGCGACGAGATCTCGTTGAGCCGAAAATGCACTCTTATCCCTCATCCCATTCGCTAGTTTGAGGAAGTTTCGGAAACCGTAGCAGTTATCTAGGAATACTACCGAGCCGTTCATTTATGATGCCATCGCACCGCATTTTAAGACGTGCATTTTGACATCGTAATTCCACCAGCTGGTCTGCTTCCAAGCGGTGCTACCGTTCTTTGTGGAAACTTGATTGGCATACATTTCATACACAACCAACCCTACTTGACAATGTCGTTTTTGTAGGACGGATATAGGGTGATCGTTTTAAACGATTAGGCCAATTGTTTTATCCTTGTCACGTGCATAGCTTCATTTTCCTCCTGAATTAGCACAACTCATGTCGTCAGGTGCTTTCGTAGGTGGCTCAATGCTTAGTTTAGTTCATCTGTTCACATGCAACCCGCAACCCCATTTGCTCTATACCTGCACTGTCCTAACGAGGAAGAGAAACTCGCGAAACCAAAGTGTTGCACCTACAGACAAGCGTTAATCAGTCGGAGAAGCATTAGGATTACCGGATGGAACAGTTAGCGTTTATAGGTTGGGTAATGCACGATGTCCGATTTGGTATCTAAACACTCTGACTGGTTGTCCCCACCAGGAGGAACTACTCGCATCAATCCGCCCACCTTTTCAATCGATGTCTCCACCTTTTTTACCCCTTAATTCGCCATCTACTCTGGCACTTCACATCGCCAAATGTAGCCAAGTTTTATTCCCTGTGCGTGTGCATAGGACCTAGTCAGCATAGACGATTCAGTTTTCTTTGGTTAGTGCAGTGAGCTCCGTGGTTCCATTCTCAGACGCCAACTTGAAATCATTAGTCTTGCACTTTCGTTGATACCCCCAGATGTAAGGATAGTCTCATGTGCATCGGATATGAAAATCACTCATCACCAAATGCACTCGTCTTTATGGAAGAAAATTGTGGACGTTTTATTGTTAAATCCTATCTTTGGTTTTAGGGAATTCCCTGACTCTAGAGCCGGAAGACGCTACCTTAGCCGGCAATACCGCCGGTGGCCGAGTGGTCTGCGCACCTGGTTTGCAACCATAAGGTCCCCGGTTCGAATCCGCGTAGGGGTGGGCGTCCTCGCGGTGTACTCATTCCGCGTGCGCCTGGTGCTGGTCGCGTGGTAGCGAAGCGGCGTTACGACGTACAGCTGGTACATTTCAATACCGCCGCTCCAATCGTTAAGTTCGTTGTGAAGGCTACGTTTGCGCACATCAGTTAAGTTTCACTACCAATCACTGTTCCTCTTGGTCAGAGTGGGATGAAGCCCCGGAGGCTGTACAAACAACGGAGCCGCCACGATGTGTCATTTGGTTGGACACATGTTCACTGACTCTCTGGATGTACTAGTGAACACTTGAAGTACTGATGCCAATAGCTGTACTTTACCTCAGCATGTCACTCCCTAGATCACATCAATTGTCTCACGTGCGCCCGAAATTTCCTCTTCGCAGCACTCTTATGCAGCAATTGCCTTTAGGTCTAGATTACAAGTGACGCGGCGACTGATGCTGCAGGCTGAAAGCAGACAGTCTTTTGCCAAAGGTAGCTGGCGATAGTACCCAAACTTCTTTTTTTCCCATATCCACAGATGATGTGCCCACTATCGCTGATCTTTCCCGCTTCGTTTCACGGCACATTCACAGGCTGTAGTTAGAGTGGTCCCCCCGAAGACTACCAATTAATAAACTTCTATCTGCGACACAGACTTTGATACATGATAGATGGAACTTTCAGAACTCATAGGGCATAAAATTAAAGGTAAAAAATTAACTGGAAGGGTGTATGAAACTAACGGTAGAGCTTTGGAGCGGGTAATTGAAGTAAAGACGAACGGAAGTCTCTTTGACTATGCGATATCAAATGGTGTTTCCAATGACTATTTTGCCCAATCATGTTGCAGCCGTACCCAAATATGCGTCACATCGGCATTACCATAAACCAGGTCCATTTTATTATTTACTGTGAGACAAAAAGGCTCCCGGAGCCAACCCGGTCCTCTGCAGCATTCGTAACTTGCATGCTAATGGAGAATGAAGTGTTACACCTTAGCTAGCTTGTACTCATGTCATTCGGGGTGGTTGCTGGTGGTGCAAGCCGCTATGCCCGCTAGCGGATCCTGATGCATGCACACTGCTGACGAGACCCAACAGGTGGGAACGGCGGTCTAGCGCTTTTCCGGACCTGTGGAGGACTATCAGATTTGAAAGCTGCTGCGAAGAAACCAACAACAATTTCTGCAGCTTCAAAAAACATCGGGCGAAAACTCTATCGAATCACAATTAAGCACAAATTTCACACAACACATTTAGAAGCCCATTCAATAAGCAGGCGAGCTAGAGCGCCGCGAACGTACTCAGAAGTGACACCACACGACGATGAGAACCACACTAGAGGAAATTCGAAACGTAGTATTCAACTTTTCCTGAGTTCATGCATGTGTACTAAGAATGTGGTATATGGATTGCTGAAGAAAAACTGAAAACGAGGTGTCACTAACTAGTGCAGTCTTATCATGGGTCTCTGTCGCATCCCCAGGGTTCATCCGGCAAACTCTGTTCCCTGTCAGCCAGTCTGCATAACATCCCTGGTAGGTCTACTCTTGTGATCCCATTACACATGCGTGGCTTCTCTCAGCGACTCATAGAAATGCTTCCGTGATTATACATCCACTCTATGCAACGACGCGAATTTCATTTGTTGCTTTGCATTTGTTATCTTTGACAATTTTTGTGATCCTGCTGGTTTCGAGAAGGTTACGCTAGCGTTATCGACACGAGCGGGGTCATAGCCTCATCGCAGCTGCTTCATAGACTCTGACCAAACTCCGTAATGCTCCCATCTTGACACCTTCACCGAGCAATGTTCCATTGCATTGGTTGTCTAGCTTTTTGGTAATGAGGAACTGTGAGCGCGGTTGTGTTCGAATTGACGAGCTCACGATTGCGAAAATCATTGACTTATTACAAAGATCGAACCGTCTTCATGAATCTGCGACTCCGTCGGCACCATAATGGTCTTGTAGTTTAGGTGAACTTAATCGCATGGCGGATCGGCACTGGGACTTGGCACCTTTGAACTGAAAATTCCATCCTCATTCCGGTCTTTGTCCGTGCTTTATTACTGAAACATCTCATGTTGGTTGGCAACGTACTACCAGTAGATATCTGTTTAGGATCTTTAATTCCTACAACCTTATTCACTCATGCTATTGCTGTTTGTCATTATTTTTGGCCAGATGGCTGTGCTGATTGATTGGTCACCAACTAATTTTCCCTTGCGGCGGCGTACCTAGTCATTT